GACAGGCAACACAACTCAAAATATTTAGAATGCCACACTCGATTAATTACCTACAACCCTAACCGTAACCCTAAACCCTAACCCTAACTCTAAACCCTAACACTAACCCTAACCCTATCCCTAAACCCTAATTCTAAACCTTAACCCTAACCCTAACCTACACCTGCTTTTAAACAATTGAACAATAACTTCTGAAGAGGATTTCTGTATATTTTATTGCAATTTCATAAAAACATGTGTTTTTGTTTGTTTTGTTTGAGTAATTTATGCAATATTACAATGCAGATTTTATGTTAATCACAGTTATACATTTCTCAAATAGTCCACACAGAAAACAGAAGTGCCAAGTTTTGTACATACCAAAGATCGATGTATATGTAGTAGAGGTGCAGTAATGAAATAACATGACCAAAATGCATGCTTCACAGTTCCAGCAATGTTGCCAACATCATGATGTGAGTGAATGGCGTGCTGTGTCAACATGCAGGTGTTTTAATGGACACCAGTGTCTATAAGCAAGGCCCTTGTTTGGTTCCATCAGCACAATTCCCTTAATGGCCCGCTTTCATCTGCACTCAGCCCTAACCTCTCCTCTACGAAGATGTGCCAAACACTTTGTTGAACCTGCGTGTGGACAAGAACATTTCTCTCTGGCAGCCTACCAGTCCCTGAGATCAAATGGGAACACTGTAAGACTTTACCCTTGAGTGAGCTCATGCCAGTGCTATCCTACCTTTCACTTTATGGCTCTGATCAACTTCCATTGATTACAATCATCAAAAATTAACATCTCACATTTAAGTAAAAACAGTACCTTTACAATTTAAGGGAAGTAAAACATTTTATTTTAATATTAGTAACAGTAAATGGCTTGTGCTTTTTGATGATGTTTTTATAATAGTTAAAAAAACTAAAGAGTTAATAGTTAAGCAATCTTACACTTGTATATGAGATCTTACCATTCAAATAAATGTCATCCTCTACAATGCCATGCTATTTATCTATCAAACTATTCATCTATCTATCTGCCTGCCTGCCTGCCTGCCTGCTGCCTGCCTGCTGCCTGCCTGCCTGCCCTGCCTGTCTGCCTGCTGCCTGCCTGTCTGCCTGCCTGCCTGCCTGCCTGCTGCCTGCCTGCCTGCCTGTCTGCCTGTCTGCCTGCCTGCCTGTCTGCCTGTCTGCCTGCCTGCCTGCTGCCTGTCTGCCTGCCTGCCTGCCTGCCTGCCTGCCTGCCTGCCTGCCTGTCTGCCTGCCTGCCTGCCTGCTGCCTGCCTGTCTGCCTGCCTGCCTGCCTGTCTGCCTGTCTGCCTGTCTGCCTGCCTGCCTGCTGCCTGCCTGTCTGCCTGCCTGCCTGCCTGCCTGCCTGCCTCTGTCTGTCTGCCTGCCTGCCTGCCTGCCTGCCTGTCTGCCTGCCTGCCTGTCTGTCTGCCTGCCTGCCTGCCTGCCTGTCTGCCTGCTGCCTGCCTGCCTGCCTGCCTGATCCCAAATAATTTCTCATTTTTTGCACACCCAAAGTTTTTTCACATCTCATTTCATTTCACTCTTTGTGGGTGATCAGATAAATTCTTATAAAGAATCTCAGAGAAGGCATGCTGATCTAGGATCAGTTTTCCACTGTTCATACTCTACTCTTATCCATTGTGAGTTGAAAGGCAGAAATGAACCCTGCTCTGTGGAACATGGGCCAGAGCTTGCTGACTCTGACACTGTACCAGCATGTTCTCTACATACTATAAATTCAATATTCATATTTCTTTATGTACTTAAAAATACTGTGTGCATGTACATATGGTGCAAGGAAATACTGTTCCCTTGATACACCCCAATGGCCTACATAAAACTGGAAGAATGATGTAGTGTGGAGTCAGTGACGATGTTCAGTCAGAACATGCTGCTACACACTGCTGGAGGAGGTGGAGCATGGCCTGGTGGTGCTAATGCTTTGCTAGCAGTGCAGAGGGCAGACACTTGAGCTCAAAGCAAAGTAGTGAAACAAAGCAGTGTTTGACATTCACACACCAAACATAAAACTCTCTGATATAGAGCTGTTTTGTGTATAATGGACACAGGTCTGGTAAACCTGTCCTGTGGGCCCCCAGTGTCTATGGCCCCCGCTGGTCTATTAAACCATCACAAATCCCTCCCCAGTGCATGCTGACCAAGTGAGCAGGAGCAGACAGTGCCTGAGGGCGACCCCTGCAGGCTGGGAGGCTCCCGTCATCATGGCTGCTTCTATTAAATACACACTTAGACCTAAAGAGGACTGAGTTAAAATTGAAAGGTCTGCACAGTATTTACAGGTATAGATTAAATACACACTTAGACCTTACCTACAGCATTTACAGGTATAGATTAAATACACACTTAGACCTTACCTACAGTATTTACAGGTATAGATTAAATACACACTTAGACCTTACCTACAGTATTTACAGGTATAGATTAAATACACACTTAGACCTTACCTACAGCATTTACAGGTATAGATTAAATACACACTTAGACCTTACCTACAGCATTTACAGGTAGGGATTAAATACACACTTAGACCTTACCTACAGCATTTACAGGTAGGGATTAAATACACACTTAGACCTTACCTACAGCATTTACAGGTATAGATTAAATACACACTTAGACCTTACCTACAGTATTTACAGGTATAGATTAAATACACACTTAGACCTTACCTACAGTATTTACAGGTATAGATTAAATACACACTTAGACCTTACCTACAGCATTTACAGGTAGGGATTAAATACACACTTAGACCTTACCTACAGCATTTACAGGTAGCATTTACAGGTATAGATTAAATACACACTTAGACCTTACCTACAGTATTTACAGGTATAGATTAAATACACACTTAGACCTTACCTACAGTATTTACAGGTATAGATTAAATACACACTTAGACCTTACCTACAGCATTTACAGGTAGGGATTAAATACACACTTAGACCTTACCTACAGCATTTACAGGTATAGATTAAATACACACTTAGACCTTACCTACAGCATTTACAGGTATAGATTAAATACACACTTAGACCTTACCTACAGCATTTACAGGTAGGGATTAAATACACACTTAGACCTTACCTACAGCATTTACAGGTATAGATTAAATACACACTTAGACCTTACCTACAGTATTTACAGGTATAGATTAAATACACACTTAGACCTTACCTACAGTATTTACAGGTATAGATTAAATACACACTTAGACCTTACCTACAGCATTTACAGGTATAGATTAAATACACACTTAGACCTTACCTACAGTATTTACAGGTAGGGATTAAATACATGATGGTGACTATATACACACACATCCCCTGTTGTATTTCTGAGCACAGGTAAAACCACATTATGTATTGATCCTTACCTATTTTTACCAGACACCACTCCATTTTGTCACTACTGAAACAAACTCCATAGAAGAAAACAGTGTTAGGGGAATTTTTGTACAAGTGTTATTTGTCAACAATAAATTTCTCAACATGCTTGACAAGGAATGAGACTGAAGCTTGATAGGGTCTATTAAATTGTATTGCCTTCACACTGTGCACACTCTGGGGTGCACAGCCATCAGGAGGGAAAACATTATATGCTACCAGCATCTCAGAGGTTTGGCTCAGAGTAATTAGCGACATTGTGGATGATTGTGGCATGTTTAAAGGTCCTACTTTCACCATCTTCCCCAAAGACTGAGATGTGGTAACTTTTGTCATCAATTTTCATTCTCAGTAAATAAAGTTACTCATTCACTACTCAAAGCCACATGACCATATTACAGCCAGTCATAAAAGATTATTAATTACGCTGATATCATAAGAATTTCAATCAATTTTAAAACTTATTTTCCCCAAAAATATGATTTCATGTTTCTGTTGATGTTCATGTTGAAGCTGAAGTATCTACTGCTGCACAATATCATATATAAATATTATGCAAAATCAATGTCCAATTAATGAAAATTAATCCAACATATACACAAAACAGGAGTACAATCTGCAACATACTATGACTTGTATTTCCACAAATACGATGTCTTAATACTAGTGAAAGGGTTCATAGGGAAAGGGTTTGGGGCTCATAGTGAAAGGGTTTGGGGCTCATAGTGACTGGGGCTCATAGTGAAAGGGTTTGGGGCTCATAGTGAAAGGGTTTGGGGTTCATAGTGAAAGGGTTTGGGGCTCATAGTGAAAGGGTTTGGGGCTCATAGTGAAAGGGTTTGGGGCTCATAGTGACTGGGGCTCATTGTTAAAGGGTTTGGGGCTCATAGTGACTGGGGCTCATAGTGAAAGGGTTTGGGGCTCATAGTGAAAGGGTTTGGGGCTCATAGTGAAAGGGTTTGGGGCTCATAGTGAAAGGGTTTGGGGCTCAGGCGGTGAGTTGATGGGCAGAGAGGAGGTCCTGCAAGGGCACTGGAGCCGCAGCTGAGTGATCATGTGACCGGCCATGCCATGAATCACTGCTCCTTTGTTTACACACAACAGCGGGCGTGCGGTTGTGGGATTGATCGCACGGAGGGTGTGGGGGTCTTTGTGGGCCGCTAATCTAACTGTGAGGCTGATACGATTTCATCTGTGGAGAGTCTGCTGGGGCTTGTGTCCTTCAAACACAGCCAGTGTGCCTTCCCTTGTCAGTCCCCCCCTTCCATCGCTGCTCCCCACAAAAACTGCCATTTCTGTCATTTTTATTTCTTCATCTTGGGAATGAAGGGGTTGGCAGAGTGTTTGGGATTGCACCCCCTGTGATGTAAAGTGTGTTTTTCACCAACAAAGGTGCTTTAGTTTCCATTAATTCCACACACCCATGAATGCTCACCTTTTGGGAAGTTTTTCTAGTGATGAATATCTCTAATCTTTCTTTTTTTAAAAAAAAAAAATATTTTTTTGGGATGTTTCCACTTTATTTGACAGTTACAGTAGAGAGGTAGACAGGAAATGCAGGAGAGAGAGAGGGGGGAGAGGACATGCAGCAAAGGGCCCAGGCCAGATTCAAACCTGGGCTGCTGCAGTAAGGCCGAGGCCTTGGCTCTACCAGCTGAGCCACTGGGGCACACCAATATCTCTAATCTTAACTGAAATCTGAAACATAATTGATTAGACTAACCCAACACACGTGTAAACTGCTACCATGTGTAGGTCCATAACTGTATCATCTACTAATAGGTAAAGAGGACTGAGTATGTTAAAATTGAAAGATTAGTTGGGTTAGTTCATTTTGCAGGCTAGCCTGGATGAATAAACTAGATTGGGAGAGCCTACATTAGTTTGAACAATAGTGGGAGGAGTTAATTCAGGCAGGTACTAAGACTAAGATAGTTAACAAAGCCTGAAAGACTATTGTGAAATGTAATATAAATGAAAAACAGATATTAAAGGACACACACTCCATAAGATAACCACTGTCACTGGAGACGTTCCAATGATCGACGACCACAATGTAGACAATGTGAATTTTGTAAATCGTTTCAGAATGTCAGATGCAAAAATAAATAAACACATAGGGCCTCATTTACCGAAGGTCTGGTAAAACTGTGTGTAAATTTAGGCATCAACGGATATAAACTAACAAATTCCACCGGATTTATCAAACACGCATAAATATAGCATTTGTTCGTATTTCGTGCGTATGTTGATAAATACCAATCAACCGTAAATGAGAAGCGCGATCACAGAATGTTTGATAAGCATAAATCGACGCCCCTGAAATACCATATAAGGAGCTTGGAATCCCTTCGTTGGAAATGCAAAGAGACGGAAGAGAAAAGGCAAAAGGAAAAAAACGTTTCTGAAGCGGCGAGTGAAGTTTTGTTAATGGAAATAGAATAAAAAAAACTTTTGTTCAGTAGTGTAAGTAGTAGAGTGTTGGGGCCGGGGAAGACCAAAGTCTGGCAGGAAGTAACTGTTGCAGTAAATTGTGTGAAAAGTTCCGCATACGCTGCAACAAGTTAAAAGAAAATGGTTCGACATGAAACTGGAGGCGAATTATTGGAGCGATGTAGTTGGCTGGAATTACCGTGGAGGGTGACAGCGATCTGTTTTCCCTCGTCTCGGATCAATCCCCCTACAACTTTGAAGGTAAGTTTTTGTACACCAGCCTTACCGTTGCCATAAATCCCAGGGGGCAGCTGCACCCGGGCCCGTGAGGAGGGGCATGGTGGGCCAAAGTGGTAATGACACATGAGATACATCGTTGGGACTATCACTTTTTTCCAAAGTCAACTTGGAACGAATCCCAAGTAAAATTTTTAGTTCAAATTAGAACTGTTACGTTAATAGGATTCTCTATAATAGTGTGCCCTCCCTTGCCTTTCGCTCCGCTCTGCAGTCCCTTTCCTTTTCAAACGCAAACTCTAATGTCATTTTGCCTTGTATAAAAATAATGACAATTGTAATATTTACATTTATTTTTTAAATATCGCAAATTCCTGCTTAGTAAATGGCCCAATCAGTAGGCTATGTTAGTCAAATAACATAAGAATGTCTGTTTATTAAATAAGAACGTAAATGTATTATGACAGTCCTATTTCTGCGGTGTTTCGGAGACGTGTTATCTGCGTAGGTTTTTCTTAGCGCTAATAGAGCGAGGTCAGCCATAGCAATGAAGACCTTAGCAATGGTTTCTGCTCCTTATTTATAGCAAACGCCGTTCACCTGTTGTATGGAATTAATGTAAAATTCCAAATAAGAATTATTTGATTAATCAGGATTATACAAATGAAGCATCACCTGTTTTAATGTTGAATCCAATAGTGATTTTATATAACAATTCGAGTCGTTATAATATTACTATATTACTAACAAATAATTTGGTACTCATTTTTAATCAAATAAAATATGAGTGAATGGAAAAATAGAAGCAAAACACGCTGTACAGCCGTGTTTTTCGATTTACGCACACAATACGAACAATTTAGAGCACTCGTGAAATCTCTTCGGATCCTATGAACAAACTGATATACGAAAACTTTGATAAATCCCACATTTTTTGCATAAATGCATTTACGAACGATTTACGATCAAATTCATTCGACTCATGTTTGATAAATGAGGCCGATAGCGTTTATCTCTGGATGATTATAGTAACACAATACTATAAAATACAAAGTCTTCAAAATGCTCAAAGAAGACTTTGTGAGTACATACAGTATGGACAGTAAAAATAAATTAATTGGTATAGAATAAAATAGTAACTAGTAGTTCATTGAACTATGCAGGATAATGTCCATTATGAAAATTATTTTATATGACATGAAGAAGCAGTGTAATCCTGGCAGACAGCTAGCTCAACATTTAGTGGTAAACGAAGGTCAGGATCCCCTCCAAACTGGCAAAACCCCCTCATTAGATATGTCTGTTTGTGGCTGGAGTTACTTACACAGAGTCAGATGATAAGATATATTAATACTGTGGCTGCTCAAAGACAATAACACCCCTTATTAAAATTAAAAAGCAAAGACCTAATTTAGTAACTCTAACCCCTAACCCTAACCCTAACTTTACACAGACAAACTGCATGCATGTGGCATTTCTGCTTTTATCCCATATAACCAGTGCTGTGCTGAGACCAAGACAGAGCCTGCTGGTGGCCTCCATATCTATCATAATGCCACTATTTTCTATTTTATTCTATAATTCTATTATAGTGGCCTCCTTCTGTGTGACTAAGCTAACCTTGAATAAGACCTGTCGATCGCAATGGGAACCACCTGGATAGGTAAAAGAACACATAAGGGTCCAGGCACTGATTTCAGTGCTAATACTAAATGTTTCAGGCATTTAAGAGATTAACATATTGGCGGTATGTGTTGTTTTATGATTTCTGATATGTTAGTTTTTTTAATTAAAATGATAAAAAGGCAGAGGTATTGGCATTGTCCTCCAATAATAGTTATTAATAGTTCATTACTTCATGTTTCATTACTTCATAGTTATGAATATGTCTATTATTTGCTAAGCCATGGAAGAAGACCAACAACAACACTGATTTACTTACATCTGTTCATTATAGTCATAATCAAGTTTCATAATCATGAAGTATCATAGCAATATTTTTCCATCAACATCACTTTCCTTTATTGCTACTTTTTTGTGGTTTTTATCTGGCTGTCTGATGTAGTACAAGTGTATGAAATGATCAACAGACAAAACTTGTTTTGCCAGAATAATTGAAAAACATTTTCTGCATGATTTTCATACTGGGTAATTGAATAGCTCATATTGGGTCACTGGAGTGTGCATTTCCCCCGTGCTCTAGATGAACTCCGCTGTGAGGTGAGCAGCCAGGCCTAATTTGGTTAATATGTGCTGCAGTTGTCTCCATGTCTCTCCCATATACAGTGTGTCATTTGCAGAATCTAATGTTCACATTCCCATAGCTGGAATAGATCCTGCTAAAGTTCTGTGCTGGATGCACATGCAGTGTGTACACATCACCTACTTTTCCTTTTTATTCATATCAATATCCTCTGTGATGTAGGACCTGGATACGTGTGGGGAGTGAATTATGTGCTGTCAGGGGGAAATGATGAGGTCCTGGGGGTGGGGGGGGGTGAGGTGCTTGTGGGTGTGTAGCAAAGTTAAGGTTGTGGGGGAAGGGGGGAGGAGCATCTTCAGTTGTGTGGTGCTGGTCACTGCAGCGATGTGGCCGCCACTTGCCTCGTGCCGGACCTGGCTAACGGTGCCACGGTGGACGTGACTCAGACGATGGACACATAAACCCAGGGCTGTAAATAAGAGCCCTCCCTCTCCCCGCTCGGCTGTCTCCCCCACTCCCCCAGTGCTGGGACCATCCAGGCAGAACGGGGACTGTGGCTGTGGCTGTGGGGGTGGGGATGGGGGTGGGGGTGGCCATCAACTGGAGCCTCATAACTCGCCATGTTGACAGACTATGGACAGACAGACAGACAGACACAGACACACATCCACAAGCTGCTCTTTTCAGATACAGCCAGACAGCTGCAGGACAGAATGAGCAGGGAAATGCCCCCATGGGGACGACCGACAGCAGCTACAGCGATACAGAGCTCTCTAATCAAAAAAACTGATCTGAGGCCAGCTGAGAAAACTAATCAATTGTATGATGAAATGGTATGCAGAACAGAATTATAATGCAACTGCAACAGAACAAGGAGGACAATGTAATCCCAGAGCAGTGACTGCTCAGTTTGGTTTGCCTGCTCTTCTCTTTTCATTAGAGCTACATGAATATATGAAAAAAATTGGCATTGCAATTCCAGGAACAGGGAGAAAGAGAGTAATAGTACAAATGAAATGAGCCTCACCTCTTTTTTCTGCACTTGTTCTGAAAAACAGTGTGTCTGGATTGCTGACGCTCTGACTCAGAGGAGCCCATCGGTGTGGTCTGAATAGCTACAAATCAAGTAGCCTGTCGACAGCCTCTGCATTGCAGGCACAAGGTACTCTCCCTCCCTCTCTTTCTCCCTCTCTCTTTGTCCCTCTCTCCCTCCCTGTCTTTGTCTCTCACTCTCTTTTCATGTCTCTGTCTTTCTTTCTCTCCCCTGCTCTCTCTCTCACTCTGTCTGTCCCTCTCTCTTTCTCACTCTCCCTCCCTCTTTCTTTTCCTCTCTCCCTTCCCCTCTCCCCTCCTCTGTCTTTGTCTGTCTTTCTTTTCCTCTCTCCTTTCCGCTCTCCCTTCCTCTGTCACTCTCTCTGTACGTGTGCACTGCCTCCATAGCACAATGGCTGCAGAAAAAAGGTCACGGTGATAAACCACACATGGTCATTTTAGCCTCTCTGTGACTGTATGATAAACCACACATGGTCATTTTAGCGTCTCTGTGACTGTATGATAAACCACACACGGTCATTTTAGCCTCTCTGTGACTGTATGATAAACCACACATGGTCATTTTAGCGTCTCTGTGACCATATGATAAACCACACATGATCATTTTAGCCTCTCTGTGACCGTATGATAAACCACACACGGTCATTTTAGCCTCTCTGTGACCGTATGATAAACCACACACGGTCATTTTAGCCTCTCTGTGACCGTATGATAAACCACACATGGTCATTTTAGCCTCTCTG